CCAATGTAAAATAACTCAATCAACAGGTATGGCAAGCCAAATGCAACTCGAGGTTATTTTGACGGGAAATCGCATAGCCACCCGCGTCTTGTAGCGTAGAAACAACTAAAGAGGCAATGAAGAGGAAAATGGAGAGCGGAAATTGTCTCTGTATCCGTGTTTTCTAAAGTATTAAGCCTAGATTAATTGGCATGTCCACAAATTTGGAATATAGAACAAGACAAACAGAGAAAAAGAGTAACTAGGCGGCAGGCACGCGAAGCTCAACGAGAAAAAGGGCGACAGAGATTTAGAGCGAGAGATAAAAAAACAAAGGAGACATTTTTTTGTTGGAAGAACAACATGAAAATTTTGTAACGGTGGTAATAAAATAAGAAATGCTAGCGGCCACCAATGCCAGGTGAAAATGAGGGGCAGTGAAAACAAAGTGAACAAAAAAAACGTGTAACTAAGAAGTTTCTGGAAGTTTCACGTTGTAGTCGTGCAAAACAACGGCAAAGAAATGTACAAAAAAGTTGGCTGCACGTGCAAAGTTGCTTTTTGCTAATTAGACCTATTGTTGTTTTTCACCGTTCTCCGGCGTTGCCTTCGCCGCTTAGCATTACATGATTTTATATTTTGTTTGAACAAACTATAAACATTATCGAGAGCTTCGCTTTTAGCCCTGGCTAAATCCATATATTAATTAGAATGCATAGTCAAATAATATTAAAACAATTTAATCAATTTGCCTTATCCCTAGTCCTTATTAATTGTTGTAAATTAATTATGGATAGCAGAACAAATTAAATCCATGTTTAAAATTTTTGAATGTAGGTTGACTCTGATCAACTTCCTTTGTCTCCTAGCCCTAATTATTCTTGAATGAGGGCTAGGTGACAAGGGATTTTGAGAATCAACCTAAAACATTTTAACCTGAATTTAAATTGGACTTGTAATATCCTCATCTAACCTGATATAAAACACGAATTGCATGCTAGTCTTCAACTTTGCTAATAAAGCCCTCAAGATGTTCAGATTCGGTATCGCCATCACTGCGTGCAGCCTTGCAGCTGTTGGCCCTTTCATCAGTCAGTTGATCTCCTCCAATAAATAGGTGCTCCAGAATGGATACAACCACTTCTCCTTCCATCAGTCAGTTGGTCTCCTCCAAATAAATAGGTGCTCCAGAATGGATACAACCTCTTCTCCTTCAACTTCCTTCTTGTCAACAGGTAGGCACTTGTCATGCAGCTCTTGAACAATGTCGACCATCTCTTCATTCACATTTTCATTTTTGAAAAGAAGTCCAAGTGGTAGCTGCAGTAAATCAGAAATGAAGATGACATTTCATTATTGTCTTTCTATCAATAAAAAATGTTAACATCCAGCATGAATAAATCATAAGGTTGTGCTCCAGCTAAGAAAATTGAAGGGGGCAATTTGCTTTGCAGGTGAATGTTTTATAAAATTAGGTTATGTATTGTGCTTGGCAAACGAGCAAAAGTTAGATGCCATGGGCCAGCAGGCTGCTGATAGACCACTTAGCCTCTTTTTATTAGTCTATGGCCGTTTTTCATAAGTTGTAAGACCGTTTCATACAATAATGTATTAACCTTTTTTTTAATAGAATTCACAGTATTTTAGTACTCTAGCAACTATAGTCCCTTATTCTAAGTTGAATATTTATTGTGGCTTGATGCATATGCCTTGACAACAGCAAATTTGGCAACCATATTATTCTTGTATGTACATGTCAAAAATGATTCAATCGCTCCAAAATATACATTGTTTGGTGACTTGTGAACAGCCACAATGCACGAAGACTTTTTAGCTGCAGCTGCGTTCCCCACAACTGTTTTCCCTGACATTGACGCCATTCTAAGCTCTTTAAAGGACCTTGTTACTGCAACTATCTCAGAGCCACCAAGCTCTTTTTCACTGTACTTCTTTCTGCAGGACTTGCCTTTCTTCATGGGCAAGATCAATGGGATCAATGACCTTACATTGTTTGCTAATAACTGTTGGCTGGTGAGTACTCATACCAGGATGCATGGGCTTTGAAATTAGCTTCCCATTCATTTTCATGAATTGACACCAATCAAACAACTGTAGATAAAACAAGCAGCTAAAGTATTTTTGTTAAACATTACTGTTGACTGTGTTGTGAATAGACTAACTTGAAAAGGTTACCCTTTAAATTTTGTATAACAGGAGCTCAAAAAAGGCAAAAGTGTGTCGTTTGTTTCTGAAGAAACTCTAGCAATCAAGGTACATTATCAAATTGAAAATCGTATCTAATGGAGGATTTTAGGACTTGGAAGAAATTATGGATTACATAATATGGGAGTTAATTTATATACTTTAAAATGTCCACGTCCATTCAAAACAGCAGAAAAAACTTAACCTAGAAACCATGTTGGGGAAAGTGACGAGGCAGCACTTTGTTGGAAATGGCAGCTACATTAAAGATGATGTCACCTTAACGTATTGGCTAAAAACAGTTAAGTTGCAGTATATTTATTTGCCAGACAGTATACAAAACATTGTCTATTAAAACATAAATATATAGATGAGTTACACATACTTTCTGGCAAGGAAACCCAAATTGAAACCATGCTTATTACTACAAACTTCCTCCCACAACAGTAAATGCAATAAAATATTGAGAATTGAAATATAAGTTACGATAATAGCAATGACCTTGTCTTACTTTGTAAGTCTGCATAACAGATGTCTCAGGTTGGCTCCGATTAGTTACTCACTTGCAGACCCAGCTATTAAATCGTTCGTACACATACATCCACGAGCTATGCACTGGTCCATGCAGTTTAATACCATCCACCACATGATGAACCATGTGCATGCTTATGTTCTGGAATGCACCAACAGACCTACAAAATGAAATAACTTGATAACTTCATATTTCCCCATTTCTCTGTATGAATAGCGAACATTTTTTCCTGCTCCACAGAACTATGGCAAGGCAGATCATAGATTGAAGCAGTTTAAAGCAGGGAAAAATCTAAAGCAGTCTAGCTGTTGCCAGAAAAAGAAAAATGGCAAATATTAAGAATAATAATAAAGTACACATACAAGAGGCTTGATTTTCTGGACATGGAGGTACCAAAGAACAAAGTCCAGATAATAAAGTCTATGAATATTTGTGATGTTTCCCAGTTGCTACTTTCATTTTCAAAACAAGATTACTCAGTAGCACTGATCAAAATTATAATAATATTTTAGGCACAGTTAAGGTTAGGCTGGCTTTAGCATTTAACCAAAAGCACGGTCACGTGCAATGTTGTCTGCAATCTCTATACTATTTCAAAATATGAACTGCAAAAAATCATATTGTGGCATCATTAATTTATTTCTTAAACTCACACAAAACAAATGGGACCGGAGAAACAGTCCTGTTAAGTAAAAGAGAAAGTTACCACAAAAAATGCATCATGAATGATGAAACCTCTTATATGGAGATTTTCAAATACAAAGGGGTTTGTGAAATATGGGTCACGCTGTCTCTTTGTACGCTAGAGAAATGGCTAGGCTACCGAGAAGATCAATAAAAACCAATATCACACTTGGAGCTTAATTGTTCTATTAAAGATAAACACATCGCAAAGCTATTCCAGTACCTTAAATTGAAGGTAGAAACGGTGCTTTCCTGCTTAGGTGTTTATAAATGCTTTCCTGTATGCACTGTTTTACCCTTTTTCCCACATTTTCCTTTGCCCGAAGGAGACTAAAGTGAAACTTGTAGAGACGAAATAATGGGCATGATAAGAACAAGTTTTGCTTTCCAAAGGGTGACTAGTGTCCTGTCATTGCTTGGGCATGGTTAATAATGTACCTGAAGTGAACTCCTGGAACTCTCTTGTGATTAGAACTTCTCAAAACTTGTCAGTTCCAAGTGAGACACCACTGCAAGAAAGTTCAACTTAAATTAAATGTAGAAATTATCATAAGCTTTTGTTAACACATAAATATCAAAATTTAAACCACTGTCATAACAATTTGGAAACAAATTACTGTCTTAATAGCAATCTACAAGTGTACAACAGTACAATTAAGAAATGGTTAATGTGCAGCATGCAACCATCAAGTTTGTTTGTTTAGACTTGTCAAAAGATTTAATTAAGATTGTAAAATATCAGCTGTCAATTTGATACCCGTTAACCTGGGGCATGAATCAATCTTTGTCTATTGTACCTTTAATTCTGTGAAGCTATCATTCTGTAATCGAGCGAGCAGTCTTTCTTGAGTCTTTCCTGCGAGCACAACATGGGTACACGCTCACGAAAATCCAAGATGCCCATATCCCACGATTACCTCACAGGCCCAGCTCTCGAAAATCTGTCGGGCTACCTCGAGGATCCTTTTCCATCTCTACCTCGCGCAACAGCTGATCAACAAAAGTCCCAAAGCACGAAGCCAAAGAAAAGCACACAACAAGAGACAACGACCCCAGCAGCACATCAACCTTTCTCACTAGATAAGCAGACCCAACTGGAGCAATTGAAGCACAGCAATCTACAGTTGCAGTTGGAGCTTACAAGGACGCAGTTAGAGCTGGCGAAGCTAAGCCCAAACGTTAAACCCTCGCAAGCTATCAGTTCGATGAAGCCAGAAGTGCTGTCACCTCTTGACAATATTCTTGCCTCCACGCCTTTTAGACCACCAACCCAAGAAGTATTCCAGAGGGTGGCAGTGTCCCAACTCTCAAAGATTTGCGGACCAAAGACAAAAAAGAGCGCAAACATCTTTCCTTATTGCCTAATGATTACCTTTTCTCCGCAAAAGGTAAGATAGACTGCGACAACCTTGAGATTTCGGAGTTTGTGGGTGGCTTTCTCGAATTCTTAAATAGTCAGCCAGAGTCCGCGCAACAGCGCTATTTAGCGTACGTCAAGCTGCTCATGGAGCGTGCTGCCACATATTCATGGAACAGCATACGGAATGTCCATATCTCCATCAATACAGTGGTTGAAGCGGGACGTTTGTCTCCAACAATTTGACCAGATAAAGGATGGGGCACAAACCTTCTTCACCCACGCCGATCTCCCTTCAGCACCGACCACTCCTCGTGTTTCAATCATGTATTTTCAAGCGATACCTATTGCAAAAAGTGGAATTACACAGGAAACTGTAACGCTCACCGATGAAAGCGACAGTCAAGGGCATTCACCGTTGCCGTGTTTGCGATGCAGATTACGCAATGCTACAATGTGCAAAACGTCGCTTCCCAATTCCTAACTCTTTCACCGGCACGCCTAAATCAGAAGACAAACACTGACTAGACGATGCCATTGCTTTGGCGAATGCCGTCAGAGCCATGCATGCCCTCTAATTTTTCAGGTGCACGAATTCCCATCCAGACTAAGTTCAGTTTAGCAAAGTTTGAATTTTACCTCGAACATTACCAAGATAGAATTACCGTTGATTTTCTTCGTTACGGCTGGCCGATTAATTACATGGGGTCTCTACCGTCCTCTACTTTTTCTAATCATCCTTCTGCCGCCAAGAACAGTGTTTTCCTGAGATCCTACGTCCATAAAGAGCTTGTTCATCGTTCTATTTGCGGACCTTTCACATCTAACCCCTTTGACACTGGTTGTGTCATCTCACCGCTTCTGTGCGTTCCAAAGCGTGACTCCGACGAACTCAGGCTCATTTACGATTTAAGTTTTCCTGAGGGTTTCTCTGTCAACGATGGGATCGCCAAAGACTCCTATCCCAACGAACCATTCAGACTCCGTTTACCCGGGATAGATCGCCTGGTGGAATTTGTCAACAAGGAAGGCCGTGGTTGCCACGTATTTAAAAAAGACTTAAGCTGCGCTTATCGCCAGATTCCTGTAGATCCAGGCGACTACCACTTTCTGGGTTTCCAAGTTGATGGGTACTTTTATTTTCATTCAGCCTTTCCGTTTGGTCTTCGATCAGCAACTTTAGCTTGCCAACGCACTACACAGAGCGTTGTGTACATTCTTAACACTATGGAAATTTTAGTGGACGTACATATTGACGATTTTTACGGAGCGTGTAAACCCAGTCAGTCTCACTCTGCTTTTAACAGGGTGAATACTTAATTTAACGAGTTGGGTTTGCTATCATCGGCTGCAAAAGATGTTCCCCCGTGTCATCGCATAGCCTGCGTAGCAAGCGTTTCCGTGTGGTTTGGGAGCAAAGAACGAGGAACGAGAGTCAAACACTGCGCGAAAAATGGCTTAAGTAAAAGAGCATGTCATGTCATGTGTGTGTTTCGTGGTTGAAATAGACACCTCTGCAATGACTCTGACCGTCCCTCAATTTTGCCTTGACGAACTTAATGCAGAATTACATCCGTCCGTCTGCCCAGGTCGTGTCTACATGTGTCGTTTGCTCAATGCCTTGCGTGATATAAACTCTCGCAGTTCTGCGCGGCACATTACTGATGACATGCGTGCCGATATTGCCTGGTGGATTTATCTTTTGCAGCATTATAATGGCGTGTCTGTCATCCCATCCAATGTCACGATCGCAAATCCTAATCTTTTTGCCTGCGATGCCTGTTTATCCGGTTGTGGCGCGGTATGTTTTGGTGAATACTTCAAGCGCAGTTTTCCTCCTGCCATTTTGGCTTTAACATTGCACATCAATGCATTGGAACTTTTGACTGTTGTTGTGACGGTGAAACTCTGGGCCACACGTCTTCAAGGTCTAAACGTTGAACTTTACTCTGACAACACCGCCTGCATCGCTGCAATTAACAGCAAGTCGTCGTCAAATGTTAACATGCAGTGTTGTTTACGCAAACTCTGGCTGATCCTTCCTGTTCATAATATTTCTTTAATTGTTCATCACGTACCAAGCAAAGAGAATTCTATTGCTGATTCGCTCAGCCGTTACGACTCGGATTTTTTCGCTAGACGATTTGACCATTATGCGGTCACCCCATGAACTCGTAGAGGTCTCTCCACCAGATTCTTTATTCAGTTTTTTATTTCTTTAATGCATTTTTTCTTTCTTTTTCTTTTTGCAGATCGTTCTCAAACGTTAGTTGATTACGCGTATCATGTCCAACAATTTGCCTTTCAAGAATCGACCAAACGCAAAATGCGTAGCCAGTTGCAAGCCTATCTTAATTTTTACGCTCATTATCAGTTTAGTCCTTTTCCTGTCCCCAAACACGTTTTCTTAGCTTATCTAGTTTTTCTTTACAACTTATTAGCGTCATATTAGTCACTCCTCAACTATATTAATATTCTGAAGCACATCAACAACGCTTTAGGCGCCGATCTGTCTTTCATGTCCGATTACGACTCTTTTCTTACACAGCAAAAATTAAGATGCTACCTGTGGCCTTTACTATAACACTTGCCTGTGTGGGATTCTTACAATTATCATAGGCAATACTATCAAACTGGATGTCTCCATTAGTAAGCTTATTTGGAGGTGGTTGATGACAACTTTTTTCTCCAGGAACATTTTCCTTTTCTTTTCACAAGATATGTTTTTTCAGGTAGGAAACGCCTGTTATGCAAATAAACAACCTTGTTTAACAAAGGTACATGTTCTCCTGTCAAATAAGCAGAAAAGAGATTCACAAATCTTGTTAATAAGAAACATATAACCCCAAAGCATTATAACTCTATTCAAATGCTGGGGGTTTTTAAGGACCCACTCAAAATTCACTTCCTGATATGGAGTTATCTTGTGTATCACAAACAAATGAAAAGCTTGTATGTAATATAATATGTATAAAGTTTTTTGCATTTAAACTTGATAAAAACTAAAATACTATTTTTCTTTGCGATATCTAATTTCATGTTTGCATCTGCCACCAGTACTAAATTCCATGCAAACACTGACACATTGTAACTTGAAATTGAGGATATGAGTTAAGGCAAATGGAACACTCTTAACATGATTGAAACCGCAAGGTTTCACATAAGTCAATGTTCTGTTAAAACAAACGTTTGAAACTAAGCAATAGGTACGGCCCTACCTCTTAATTCACACCACAAGCAGCCTTGAAGAGCACCGGCTCCTACACAGCTGAATGTTTTCTTTAGGCCAGGGTAATCAAGTACAAAATTGTGAAGACGAACTTGAAACTTGAAGTTTTCACTACGAAATGCATCAAAAAACAGCCTACAATCAAGTTCTATCAGTTCATCAACAAGCACGTCCAGATAAGGGTCAATTGACTTTGTATTGGTAGGAATTATTCCAGCAAGCATCACACACTTATGCTTGTTTCGCAGAATTTTGGGCAAATTGAGAATGGTCACCATAACTGGCCACATTGAGTAACAGACTTTATTTGAATTGAAGGGGTTCACCCCATCAGTGCTTAACTGAATTAACAGTCCCCTGCAGTCCCCACCAAACACACCATCTTTAGCAAACACGTTTCCACGCAGGTGAATTGTGCACATCATACATTAGACAACTCTCACTGAATGAACAATGCCTCTGAAGAAGTTCAGACATCTCTTTGTTCTTGAACATCCGTTTCCAATGCGGCCCAAGCGGATAGTAAACATACTTACGAAAAGGTATGCCATTTGAACCAAAGCGATTTGTACAAATAGGACATCTATTGAGGTTTGACTAATCGTGGCGAGGTGTTTTTCGAAAAATGACAGTCGTTTGGGCATACATGGTGAGTTACTGTATCCAGCATGAACGGTCTCACAAACTGCAAAGCCTCTTCGTAGGAAGAAGGTAAATTATTGCCAAAAGGTAAAATGTGCTTATGTTCGAATTGCCGTAGCTCAGACAAGGCACTTTTACTGACAGAAGGATGAGTGGTGAACCAATCGAAATATCCATCAAGTGTCGCCAATACAGTCGTAGAACTTCCTTTATAAAGAAGTAGTCCTTCTATCATCTGACTTTCCGCAGCGCTTGCAATAGACTTAGCAGTGTCGTCGCTGTTTTGACTGACTATCTGAAGAACTCGAACTTATTGGATCAAACAATGTCTCACAGTCATCCTCGTCCAAGCTACTATTTGAGGAAGTTTCTGAACGAGTATTGTCACTGGTATCATCAGCCGACGGCAGGCTCTCATACGACGGTCGAGAGGTGGTCAAAATTTTGTTTAACAGTTCTACGTGAAATCCAACTTCCGAATTATCGTCCATTCCACTGCTGACCAACAAGCATTTCATACTTTGTTGGGATTCCTCCAAATCCGATGGACTGTTTACTGAGCTTGCATCGATTTTGATCTCTACCGACTCATCAAGGGAACTACTTTCCTCCTCTTCCACATGTTCATAACAATCAATGCAAGGTTCTTACCAAAAGCTTGTTTATGACGACGAACAACCCGGTAAGTCTGAGGTTATCCTTGGCATAAGCTGCAGTCACAAGGGACTATTAGCTGCTGTCTTTGTTTTCGTTTCGTAGACCCGGCAGAATGCGAGTACGGCATCGTGCTGCTCGAATGTCCCATTTTTTTCTACTACCTTTCGCACCAAAATGTCATTGTAAAGGTTGCGATATGATTGGCTGTTTTATTTTGGCGCGCAAAAATTTATGTGGCCCCCTTCGAGAAAGAGATTCACGCTAAAAAAATCATAGGTGTTGAAGGATTTGGAAGGAACTGTGAAAAGCTTTTTTTGCTTCGCTTTCCTTGAACTTCTTTGAGGCACAATGAACGGTAATACATTGGAAAAGTTTATCAGGGAAGCGTTGAGTAATGTTTCGCCAAGTATATTGAATGAATTAGTGGCGAATGGAAGCACTTGTAAGGTGACAACGCAGCCTTCTTGGACAGCTCAGGAGTTGGCCGATGGTGAAGAAGTCGTTTTAGATATGAAAAAATAGGACTTCACTGCCACACAGTTTTTGCGACCGAGAAAACCAGAAAAAAAAGCTACTCAAAAGCTCCTCAAAACACATTTAATGTAAGTTAAAGTTTGCTTGCAGCCTAGTCTAACTTTTATCAGTTTTCACAACCGAAGTAACCTTTAACTTAACATATGACCTTAAGCTTAAAATTAAGCTTGTCTGTAGTTAACTT